TCAAAACAGACAGAAAAATACTAGTCTAATTATGGACCAAAACCACTACTTTGGGATTAAAAAATAAAATGAATTCATGAATATGCAATAAAGAACTTTTAAGTACACTTTAATATATAACACATTTTTATTTAGCAGCCTTAGATTTGCCAATAATTTGCGTTAAATTTTTTGAGTATTAATTAAAAGAAAAAATAAATGCATAGATATTGCAAACTTTCGAATATAAATTTAAATTCATTTTTCATAAAGTGTTATTAAAAGGAAAAGGTTTCAGGTACAATAAATACTATATTTTTATCTTTTTTAATAATATGGAATATGCAAAAGAAAACATTTTAGTTAAAAATAAAATGAATTCTTTAGATAATTTTTAAGTGAACTAAAATAAAAATAGTAGTTTTCATTAAAATAAATTAAATTCATTAACTTTGCACATTTCAGTCTATTATTAAAAAAAATAATAATAATAATTAATGTTTAAAATTTGAGATTTGGATAAGAATAAAATAAATAAGTAATTCAAGCAGTTATTAAATATTCTTAATTTTTGTCTATAGTTTAGCTTGTTGATATTAGAAATTTATCAAATAATTATATTAATAGTGTAATTAAAAAGTCAAGAATAATTGAAACTGATCAATAATAACAAAATAATGATGTAATTAAAACTAATGAATTAAACGGGTATCCAAAAAAACATGCCTTAAATAATAATCATTATGAGTATTAATCATTATTTAACCGGACTAGTATAACTGAATACGTATTCGATTTAATGGTTTACAGTATACCCAAATAAAAGTTATAATATTTTGTGTACTTTATTGTAGTAAACTGTCGAAGTTAAATAAAACAGGGCCTGAATAAATCGTTTTGTACTTGGTACAAGTCTGGTCATTTTCGAACTAGTTCGATTTCAGTCAGGGAATTCTAGTTGTAAACTAGTGTTTTTCCTGACTAGTTTGGGATTTCACTGCAGGGTACTTTCAAGTCTACACATACTTTGAAGATAAAATAGTTTTTTTTTAATTACATTTTTATTATTACTTTTTATTATTTCACACGTTTCGAAATTCAGTTAAGTACACATTTATAAATACTTAAAATATATTTTTGTTTACCTAATTCCAATGCATTAACATGTAACGTATTTATATTTACTTATATTGTTAGGCATAAATGTGTACATATGTATGTGGCATATAATTCTGTACAAATTTAAAACATATTCATATGCGGTATCATACAACTTGTTTTTAGATGATAGGGGCATTCAGGCTCAATATGCTATATAGTGCTTATAATAACTATAAGATACCTACTTATTATTTAATTCAAAAATAGTTCTTATAAAAATATAATTCATTCTAAAATAAAAACCACATAAATTTCGTTTCCAAACTTTGTATAAAGATAAAAAAACTCAACTGGCTTTCATCATCAAAATTTAACATTTTTTATTCAGAATTTTTAGAAAAATTTTGGGTATGCACTTTTAGTAAAATAAAGTGCAAGTTAGTCCAACATACTTCGTATGGAAGAAAACAAGTGACACCGTCAATAAAAAAAAAATTTCCAAAAATTAATGGTAATTTGGAGTTACTTTAAACCTGCACTTTACAGCGTGGCGACGAATAACTGTTACCCAGTTTTTTTTGAGAAATAAAAGGGTCCTTTATAAATTTTGCGAAAAAAGTATTTTATTGTTAATTTTCCACAGATTTTACTTTAGTTGTATTAGTTAGTTTTTAAATTTTAATCCTTATCTACATTTGCCAGCAGTGTAAACTTTGAGAGAAAAGTTCATTTGGCACGCAAGTCTTTTTCAGGTGTATTTTTTCTTAGGCTTTGTATAAAAAAAGTACAAAAAAGAAAAAAACTGTATAAGGTTGGTCGAATGAATGGCCGTCCTAGTCACCAGTCCCGAGTCTATTAGATTTTTGAGTATGAGGCCTTATTTTGGACAGAAGGGGGAGTATAAGTGACTTAAAATGGAGAAAATTAGCCTATGGTTACAGAAGATATGGAACAAATTAACTGACGAGGAGCTGCGTGCCAAATGAACTTTTCTCTCAAAGTTTACACTGCTGGCAAATGTAAATAAGGATTAAAGTTTAAAAACTAATTAATACAACTAAAGTAAAATCTGTGGAAAATTATCAATAACATACTTTTTTCGCAAAATCTATAAAGGACTCTTCTATTTCTCAAAAAAACCTGGGTAACAGTTATTCGTCGCCACGCTGTATTACACTAGAATTGAATGAGATACTGCATACCCATTTTTTCTTTTTTAATGTGAAAATTTTATCAAACTTTTTTATTTAAATTTTTTTCAAGGTTTGAAACTTAGATTCAGATGGTTTTTGTTACAGAATGAACTATACTTTTATAAAAAAAAAATATAAAAAATAGCTCAAATTAAATTTAAAAAAATTGATAGTAAAAATTTGTGAATTCGCGTCATGCATAAAATGTGAGCTTAATCTCAGACTCAACTTTTGCACTGATGGAGTGAGCTTAAGCTCAAGAATTTGTACAGAAAATCGAGTCGGAGCTTAAGCTCACTTTTTGTGCATGAGGCCCAAAATTTTAAATTCATTATAAAGCGTTTCGGGGATTTTATAAGCAGTAGAAGTTGAAAGCGTGGCCGAAAATAACGATAAAATACTAAGATTTTTGTTTGCATGTCATTGCAAAATTGTTATTTTTATTTTTTCAATAGTAGTTATTTCGAATTTTATTTTTCTCCGATCATTTTTAACCATTAGAATGGCGGCGGCAATCTTATAAGCGTTAAAAATACTTTCTAATCAAAAAAATCTAGTATGAAAATATCGCTTATGGTAGATCGAAAAAAACCACAAAAAAAATAATACAATTAGTCTTGATCGATAAAAAATTAAAGAAACGACAAAATTTGAGAAATTGAAGAAGGGATACACCAACATAATTACTTCTTATGTTGTGTTTTTTACTTGGAAATTAATAATCACAAAATTAAACTCAGAACTTTAATCAAAAGAATAAAAGTCCAAAAATAACAATCAAAATTTATCTAAAAAATGAATACATAAAAAAATTTTCAAGAAAGTAAAAATCATACGATAAAATCAACGATTGAATTTGATGAATAAGGAGTACTTCAACATGATTATATTTTAAGTCAGCTCTGATCGAAAAAAATACGAATCCAAAAACAAGATTTTTCTTGATCGAGAGAATTTTAACGGTTAAAATGTGATTTTTATATAAATATCATAGCTGTTACGGTCTTTGGTTGAAACAAATAAATCTGAGAACACATCAGCTTAAGTGTTGCTGAAAATTTATATAAAAAGTAACACATAATGGCGTTAACTTGCCTAGCCTGAATACGCCTTATAAAGTTTTGCTCCTAACTGCAGCCGCTAAAGAACCAAATAAGTCCGAACACAAATAAGGGATGGTCCAAAACCAAGCTCGATTTGTTTCCTTTGAACAACATATTGATTCCTTAATTTACCTACAATTAATATTCGAAAGCTTTGTTAGATATTTTATTCCAAATTGAATTCCATACCCACCAGATCTCAGCTTTTATCACCCTAATGTCAGTAAATTAAAGCTCACCAAAAATAATGAAACTTTTGCAAAGGACGTATTTTGAATATTCCAATAGAACTAGAATAGATGTCACCTAAATATGCAAAACAAGAAAAGGCTCCGGGGCCTGTAGGAGTCGAGGCAGCAGCTATTCTAGATAACTGATCAGCTTCCTCATTTTCTTCGATTTCCATATGTTCTAAATATCATTATGCTCATTCAGGGCGTTAAGTTTCACTACACAGGACCAAAGAGCATTTGACATCGAAGGACGATAGAGCTCTCTGTGCCGCCTAGCTATCATTTAATATAAGGATCCTCTCAATTCGATAATTCCTACAAAGGTTAATCTCTGCTCACAGAATAATAGCATAGAGTTTCGCGTGGGAACGAATTTTAAACCTTACACTCCCTTCTACGAACTCAATGGGTTCCCTGTTTACAACCATAAGTTGGCCTTAAAAACATCTGGTATAACAATAAAGACCGTAAACAATTCGAACAATATATGTGTTACCTTCAATAACGACATGTGCATGTGAAAACGGAGCTATCACTAAGAACTGTCCCACAGATTCCACAGAATACTTCTGATTTGGTCGAAACATTATTTTCACAGTGCTCTTATGCCACCGTAGAACTTGCATTACATCTTGCTGAGCATGATTAGGGACACGAATTTCGATACGATACGATACCATATCGATACTTTTGGCATTCGATACCGATATTTTTTAATCGATAGTTTTAAAACGATCCTTTTTGGAATCGAGTACCAGAATCCTAGTATCGTATCGAATGTCATAAACTCAAATTAGTCAGTTTTCAGACACGTCCAGTCTTGTTTTCATGTCTGCTCGTTCCAAGGCGAAGGAGGTGAGAAGAAAGGGGAAGAGTGCAGATATCTCCCATTTAAAGAACCACGAACTTGAATTCAATAAAAGTTGACGCGTCTGGAAGCAAATAGAAAACACAAAAGAGAATGCGAAAAAAATGCTTTCAAGACTTATCTGATTATCAACTCTTCCCGATATAAATTAGGCTTTAAAGAACAGAAATCTTTTACTATCGTTAGGATTGCATGTGGCGCGGTCTCGGTGTTTTAAGTCAACACCTCAATCTCTACGCGTAAAAATAATAGATTGGCGCTTACAAAATATGTTAGCGTTTGGCCGAGCTTCTCCTCCGATTTGTTGCGTCCGCCTTGATGTTGTGCCACAAAGGGCGTTTTTATGAGAAGCCCTGGCAGAAATACACTCGGAGGTTTCTAATCACTTTTTCTGATATTTCTTTTTTTTTTTGATTTTGGTATCGAAATTTGCGATATCGAGTCTTTTTATTCCGATATTAATGGGTACCCGATATTTTTCCAGCGATACTTTAAATGAGTACCATATCGATACTTTCGGTTCGATATCGTGTCCCTAGGCATGATTTTCTTCCGCTGAATTAACAAGTCTTCCAGCAGAAAATCTTTCTAATGCGAAGCGTTTCCTATGTATATTAAAAGCCGTTTCATATACTTTAAGGACCAGATTCAACAATTCATATGCCAGCCGCTAGTCACTAACCGGGCGATAACCCTATTCTGTCCGAAGCACATATTTCTAGTGCCTACCAGACAAATTTAAAGTTTTTAATTTTCAGGAAAGAGTTCTGAATGTAAAAATTATACTATTATTGATTATACACAAAGGCACCTACATATGTTTGGACCACCCTCTTTGTGTGACTTATGGCGTTTTCGTTTCTACCAAAAACGGTTACCTTCTCTTTGCCCTCTACGTACAAATACTAGGAAGAGAGCAATGAAAAGGCAGCATTTTTTGTAGAAACAAAACCGCCATTACTAAGTACTTAAAAGCCTTTTAGCACTCCTTTTATCTTACTTATTAGAAGTTTAGAATCTTTTTTTAATTAAGTTTATCACAGCACAAACATTTGTATGAAAGTTTACTTCACACATCTCATCAACTCCAGTCACTCATCCTTTAACATCTTGCTTAATTGTTGTTGTTGTCGTCTTCCTAATAGTTAAGGTACGTTGTATTCCATTCGGTATGGTTTTTATCGTTAAATCCATTTAGAATTTTTTTTTCAAGCAACGAACCTGTAATGAAAAGAGGGAAAAAGATCAGTATACTCCTGAATAACCACTGGCTATGAGATTGTTTTCATATTTAGGAAAAAGAAAAAGCCCCAAAATCAAATTTAAATTTAAAAGGGGAGAGCTTTAAGCGAAAAAGAGGCCAAGATTTGAAATTTCGCGATAATTCAGTCAGTTTTTGAAGTCACTTTAACAACTAACAACTGCCCTAGGATCAAGTAAGAATTACTTTATTATAAAATTAAATATAAATAAGTGTCATCATGTCACCTTCTAAAAATCGCGCTCTCTTATTCCAACTTCCTGCCTATTAGTGGTTCTCAGTTGGGTAGCTACATAACTGGGTGTGGGGTTTGAATATGGATTCTCACTTAAAATTCACTTAAACTGCACGATAGATGTAGCATAGTCTATGTTGGCTTTTATTCGACGTTTCAGTTCAGACTTTTCGGATCCGTTTACCCTAAATTTACTCTATACCTCCCTGGTGCGCTCTGGTTAGACTATGTCGCCGTAATTTGGAGACCTTACTGTAGTAAGCATAGAGTTGAGCGAGTTCAAAAAAAAACGTTCGTTTTGCTCTTCGCTCTTTGCTTTTGTTCACCCTTCCTCCCTCTTCAGGGAGGTTCTGCATTTGTGGAATTACGCACATGCCAACCAGTGTTGCCGCGACATCATGCAAAAATGTATCGTAAAAAAAAAACAAAAAATGGATCAAATGTATCACCAATTTTTTTTAAGTATCAAAGTAACAAGTTACAAAACATTAAAAAAAAAGCTATTTGGTTTCATACAAAATATTAGGGGATCTTCATCAAAAGTGAGAAACTCTTGATAAACTTTAAAAAGTGATCGATTTGTCATTTTGATAAATGAACTATCAAACTTTATCTTTAAATCTATTTAACCAAAGTTCATCACTTTATCAAACGACGTTGGTAAATAAATGTTTAAATTTCAGCAAAATTCAACCCTTACAGGTTTCCAGGAAGTCGCTTTTGCTGCGAACTCATAAAAGCAATTGAACACAATGGAGGAGGAAGGAATGAAACGTACCTAGCCTATAAGTTAAATAATAAACAGTTTTATGCAATTATTTACCAAGGTGCGTTCACGAAAGAATGCGGATAAACTGATAAATTAAGGCAATTTATCCCTTTATCACTTTAGATGAAGACCCCTATTGACAATGTATACTTTTCCAAAACGCATGCGAAAAGTTATCGAAACGCATCGCAGGAGTAATCAGCGCATCTGAAACAAAGTTGATGTTTCGTTTGTTACCATTGGTGTTGAATATTTAAAATATGCAATGTATATGGTTGCAATATGTCGCAACTCTGCATATACAAACAGTTTGAATACCGCAGTATAAAAGTATCCAAACATTGTATTGATACGTCTTGGAAATCAGCCATACTTTCCGCCTTAAACTCGTTGGAAATTAAGAAACTACCTTCTGTGTCGACTTTATTTTGACCATGAATACGCCCCGTTATATTCTCAACAGTTTGTAATGAAAGCCCTTTTCCCTTTTTTATTGGATCAATTTTAAAACTGGAGCCGCAGAACTACATACATATGTATGAGGCAAGCAAAATAAATTAAAAATGAATGCAGTCAGCTCATCTTATTACATTAAACGAGCAATTCTTGTATATATATATATATATATATCTATACGGCTCTAACGATTTTGATGAAATTTTGTACACATATAATGTTTTGGATTTTAAGGTTATCTGAATAGGCCTCGAATAAAGACTGGAATAAGGTTGCCACCTATTCGAAATTAGTTACAAATTAATTAAAACATTATAATATGGGTATCAAAAGGTAAGTATTTTAAAGATCCCTAATTCAAAAATATTTGTAATTCACATATTCACATTTTGATTCACATATTTATTTAATTTTTTGTTAAGAAAAATAGGTAAAATATTTATATTCATGGGTACCAAGAGAAGATTCTCAAATAATTCTTTCCCTATATACAAAATGTTACCCCTTGGGATAATAGTGTAAGGTTGCCACTTAATTTCGATTCTGCACAATTTATGTAAAGCATCGCAATATGGATATGAAATGAAAGGTGTTGTTGAGAACTTTGGTCAGGAAATATTTTCCATCAGGGTTGCCACACTTCTGTGTTCTGTGTAGTAAACATTTTTATTTTGTTAATTTTAATCAGCATTTTTTTATGTATACACAGTACATGTACGCACAAGATATGTCCCATTCATTCCAGAGTATTTCGGAATAGGGTTGCCAGCTAAATTTTGGGGTACGAAATTTACTTAATAGATATCGAAATCTATTTTTTTTTTCAAAATATTTTTTTTAAAGCTGTCCAAATTTTGAAAACTTTAAAGAGTATATGCGCTCCGGCTAATGCTCGGTCAGCTGGTACTTATGTATAGCTTGTTTAAAGCATATTTCTCTAAGCTTATTTGACCCCAAAACGTTTAATATTTTCGATTAAATTTCAAAAGCTGCCACTGCATACATATGTACACATCTCGTATTTTGTAATGTATCAAAATTTGTATTACGCGGGAAATTTAAGTATCACGCGAAATGAGCGAAAAAATAAAGTATCTGCCGAAAAGTTGCATAAACACGTATCACTTTTGATGTAAATGGATCAAAACGGCAACACTGATGACAACCCGATGACCCTAGCCAAAGACCGTCAGTCGTCAAGTGGAGTGGAGGCTCAACTGACAGTAGTTTCGGCTACGAGTTCTGCCCAGATACTTAAGTCTGGTACCATAGGGGAAAGGAGCCCCCAGAGTATACTAGTGGTTTAACACCCAAATGCGGGTGTTCGATTTGGAGTTGCATTCCATTCGGGTGCCGGACGGCAGATGCTTTCGATAGGCTTCGAACCTTACCAAGGTGGTTAGTGTGTTCGTTCCACACTGCCAGTTGGTACCGACAGAATGGTTGCATTACAGGGCGGTGATTAAGGATTTGGATACGCTGCGCCTTTGAGGGTCGTGAGGTCAGGCCGTCGTCGGCAGATACCCATCTAAAACTCCTATTTTCAAAACTTTAAAGGAATTCATATCGCTCTCAAATTCTTCTGCTCTTGATTACATCTTACTCAGAAATGCGTTTCAAATCGTTACTGAATGAATTAGTTACTTAATTTGTACCTTTTATTTATATTTCCTTGTAATCTGTATGAAATGAGTACTTTCTGGATTATGATTAAAATAAAATTAAATCAAAAGATGAGGATTTTACTAGCCAGCCAGAAGTGTGTCTTAGCTTAACTTTCGTATAACTGTCTATCAGAACTTGAACCAAAGCCGGTTCTTTTATATCTGGAAATAAGATCGCATGAGGTCACATACTATATATAGCCTTAACTTATAATTTAAAGGTCGCAACAAATTTAATCTTACTCCGGTTAAAGGCTACTTTTCCTTTATAAACTTACTATTTACTTAAGAACCTACCATTTTCAGCGACCATCCACGCCGTTAGTTTTTCATCTTCAGTTTTATTGGTTCCGTCCCATGGTTGTAATTTAGATTTATTCACGTCAATAGACTTAGGATCAACTCTGAAAAAAGAATTTTCAGTACTTATGCATACATCTGCTTTTTCTACTAGTAACTACGAGTATTTATGTAATATTGAATAGGAATGAAATTCAACAACAATTTTTCTTACTTGAATAAATGTTGTGTTTGTACGATATGGAAATTTGCACATGCTATACCCACAAAGTTTTATGTAGGAACAAATTACAAAACATTCAATCCGTGAAATACATACTGTACGTATGTATATGTACTACTTGTGCTACAAATATACACAGTTGCATTTTTTAGATGGTGTGGCGTTCAAATCAAATCTACTTTAGCCAAATATGTAAGTATACTGGAATTTAGAACAACATTACAAAACTTTACCACTCTTTTCGGATTAAAGAAGTAATATTGATTGAATTACATGTGTGTTGTTAGTAGATAGATGTGTATGAATGTCGTACTCAAATCAAGGGATCAGCAGGAGTTGATCTGCCAGGAATCCAACCAATTTATATATGTACGAGTATGTCTGTCAAAAATATATCTATATGTGTAAATATTATGGTCTTATTAAGTGGACCCAAACTGTAGTGTGTTAAATTTTAGTGTTCAATTTTGAAATTACTGCTTATAAGATCTACTGTTCACTAACCGCTAACTAAATAGATAAATATTTTAAATTAAATTTACAGATCTATGTATTTTTTGTTATAAAATCTTGTTTTCTACTATATATTTGTTTACCTAATAGGCCAAAATTGGCACTCATCGTCTGTGGGCGGGTCAAGTGAATCCTTAGAAATACTAGAACTGTTGCACAAAATACACATTGAAATGTTTAGACAATGTCACAATAGAGATATCTATCAATAAAAAAGCAAGTTGGCAAGTGACCAATACAACTGTTTAGATGCAATAACTAATAAGTTTGTTTTCATGAAAATTACATTTGAACAAACAATGACATACATATATATGCACATTGGTACGAGTTTAGACAAAGTAGCAAAGTAAAACATAAAAATAAAACCTGGACAATAAACTATTTTCATTAATATATTCTTTGAATACATTTACATAGATATTTGATCAAACTTTACAAGTTTGTCTAATTAAAGTTTCCAAGCTTTCGAGACATTTTATCGCTTAAAAGAATACCTCTAACAGAATTTTTCTTATTCTATACCATTGTTCAATACAAATCTGTCGTCTACTAAATTATATTGAACTAGTGCGAAAAAAAGAATGTAGAAGAGATGTTTGTCAAAAAGAAGGTTGTTTTAAAAAGTGTCCTAAGACTCTGCCAGAAAGTACAATGGTCAGTAAACGTTATCGGGGCTGATTAGAATGGTCTTAAGAAATATAATTATACTAGGCATATTATTTCCAATGACCCAATGTGACGCAGCTATCCGGAGGATGATGAGGTGGAATCATCTCAGCACTTCTTAATTCCTACAGAGGAACTTAGCAGCTTTCGAAATTTCATAACGCGTACCCAGTGATTTTCTAACCCCTATTGATTACCTGTTGTACGTTTCAGGATAATTGTATATCTTTCATGAACATGCAACTGATTGTATCTGGGGTTTTACTTTAAAGCTCTTTAATTTGAACGGCTAAAGGCCAGTATGCAGCTCTCAAGAAAACGGTCAAAAAAAATTGCCCTTATTTCGAGTGTGTGTCCAAGGAATTTTGACATCTGATACTTCAGCAGCCCGTTGTGTTACTCATTCCTCGAGAAATAATGCAACAGGCATATATGTATTTCTGTTGCAAGCATGGGTTACTTTGTGCTCTTTTTCACAAAAAAATTTAGAAAACCGTAGTAGAAAGCGTAGCAAATTTCTTAAAAACTGCGTACTGCCTCAAGAAAATTGTACACAAGATTTTTTCTCTGCCATTTCATGTACGTCATTTTATATGGAGTTTTTGCTTTTCTTGAGGGCTGCATACTGGCCTCAACGCCGGGCAATTTCGTGAGCTATTTTCTAAATAATCACACAAAGTCTACTGAGAAGATCGTCAAGACCGTTGCTGTATAAGCTATATCTCTTATACCACTGATTTTTCAGATACAAGTTTTTGCTATATGTAGGCAGATAGAACCATTAAATTGTGTGACTGGTTTACATATCGAACAAATCGAGCCCTAACCGCCAAAATGGCGTAACTGACAACAAGTAAATTTTTTCAGTAGGCGTTTTTTTATTTACACTGCAATTACTGAAGATACTAACCTGAAGGTCAATGAAAAAGTTACGTTTGAAATTAGGTATATAATATACTACACATTTTTTTCTGATTCATAGTCAGTGGTGAGAGCTTAAACCTTTTTTTGCCAGGCTGGACACTGAAAATGTTAAATACACCGTACTTTAATCAACAACGAAGAATACTCTACCTAACGAATGATCACGTCTGAAACAAAAGTGAAGACAAGGGGCGAACATATAAGAATTTTTGAAATCTTATAAATATGTAGGTTACATTGTAACTTTCTAAAATGTGATATTTTCTTTCTTCCCTGTTCGTATTTTGCTATACTTTTTCTTCCCCTTTTTAATGATTAAGAAGTTGTACGAAATTATAACTATTTTAAGCTGCAAAAACTTTCACTCTGGTGTATGTAGTTTTAAATCTGTGCTTTAAAAGCTCTATGACACAAAGTGTGCTTTTTGAACACTTCATTAGAATTAATCGTAGCGCTTTCGACAGAAGCAATATTTTGATATGAAACAAAATGGTTTTGAAAGCTAATTTTATTATCCTTCACGGACAAATACTGCCATTGACCCACAATTACTTCTTGACCTTAAAATGGTTGGTCAAATATAGTGTTCTTCCAAAAAAAACATGCAAAATCCACAGGATTTATTCCAAAAAAAATTTCTTTTATGTTTTATTACATTAGTATTATAGATTTTCAGACGAGTAACGCGATTCCACTGTTTAAAAATCGACAAAATATTTTAACACCTCAATTTAAGAAAACATTTTTGGTTGCATTTTTTTTATTTGCATGCAGCTGTGCATCCTTCTCACAATTTAATATCACTCGAATAACAAGTGCGCTGTAGTGCTATTCAAGATCTTTGATACGAGCCAAGGTCACTAGGCCCGTTGAGAGCCAAATTATCGTCATTCTGAAGTTAAACTTCGAAATTTCATCCGACTTGTTTGCATTTTTTTCGCCTAATTTCAGAGTAAAAACTCGTACAGCAGATTCGAAGTTTGGTTTAAAATTGTTATAGCTTGGCTCTCAGAGGGTCTATAGATTTCCACCATGGCTCAAATTTAAGATCTTGAATAGCACTACAGCGTACTTCTTATTCGAGTGACATAAAATTGTGAGAAGGATGCACAGCTGGATGCAAATAAAAAAAAAAAACAATCAAAATTGCATTTCTTAAATTGAGGTGGTAAAATTTTGTATCGATTTTTAAACAGTGGAATCGTGTTTCTCGTCTCAAAATCTATAATACTAGAGTAATAAAACATACAAACATTTTTTTTTTTAATAAATCCGGTGGATTTTGCATGATTTTTTTCGAAGAACACTTTTTTCTAAAAATTTTTTTAAGGTCAAAAAGTAATTGTGGGTCAGTGGAAGTATTTTTCCGTGAAAGTTAATAAAATTAACTTTCAAAACCATTTGGTTTCATATCAAAATATTGCTTCTATCGAAAGCGTTACGATTAACTCGCATGGAGTGTTCAAAAAGCACACTGTGTGACATGAACGAACATGTATGTATCTAGGAATTCATACATATGTATGTGTATATTAAGTTTTATGGAAATTGTTGTCTTACTTACGCATTTGTTGAGAGTGAGCCGGTATAACTACCGTTGTTAACTTCAATGCTACTCGGAATCTTCTTCTTACTCTTTTCTGTCAACGAATTCTCGTTCGAGTAACCATTTGGCAAACTGGAGTTACGTTCCATGTGCGATTGCTGTTGATGTGTTGTGAATGGAACTGTATTCGGGTACTTCGCTGTGTCGCTATCCGAATCAAGTGAAAGATGACCGAATAGATCTTCCAGTAAAATATTTGTTTTTGCATTACGTTGACGTTTCGCTGATGTTTTTATTTTTGAACTGAAAATTATATACATTTATTAGTAGTAATATCTCGACAAATTTAAGCTGATATTCACGATCTTAAATGAATTAGCGACTCCCAAGTAGTCTGCCTTCCCTACTCTTTCTACGACAAGTGCAACCAGAATAGTAGCTCTGTGCTGATGGTTACAGTATATACTTTCAACTGCGTGAAGATAAGTACATAATAGCGTAACTGTTCCCGATTAGTTAAAACCGTAACATGAGCCAAGGTATGCCAGAGTTTTTTTAGTTGACTGGTAATATCGACCTACAAAGGTATCACTACATCCGAATGATTCACACAGACCCATCTCAGCACTATAGTAGGAACTGCAGTACTAACTACTATAAATATTATAAAATGCTATAACCATCAAAGAAAGAGCGCTCCGGAAGACGGATTTGTCCGGTACCATGTCTCAGAATTTTTTGGATTCCGAAAGCTTCATCGTCGGATTGCCCATGGTAGGGAACTATTCTACTTTCCTGTGAAAGTCACCAGGTCAATATTGCATGCATTAACACCCAGGTCATTCTCTTTGGTCCAACAACTAATCCTGTTTTAACCTTCATGATATCAAACAGAGTTTATGGAAATTTCCTACTTACAACCACCGTAAGGTAGTCAGTATATGCAATGATATTGGAGCCCCGCTCCTTTTCCAAGGCTTGCAGCAGTTCATTAATCACCAAAATCCATAAAAGGAAGACAGCGTTAAGATATTTTCACCCCATCATCCTCTTGACAACTGATGACAAAGGCATCCGGTAAGATTCCTAACTTCACTGCGTTAAGACCAACCACATAGTGTCGTCTCAGAACTCCCATTAATAGCTAGCGCTGCGGCTTTGCAAGCATTCGAAGCTCTTTTAACCGTCCCTGTCCACCCAAGGCCAGAAGGATCGTGCAATTGCACATGTCTTAGTTGAAGTCCAGCGCTCGCCGCACTTACATGAGACCCAACCGTCCAAGAGTGAACCGGAAGAGAACAGAGGCATCCCCAGCTGCTCCATACCAGGTGACAACGTTTCAAGGGCACCTTCCAAAGTCGACAGCTATGCACGCAGTTTTTCGCAATGTCCCTGTGACCCGGCAACCAAGTGAGACTGATTAGGAAGTGCTCCGAATCGGTTGATAGATTTCGAGCGCGCCATTATCGCCTTCCGGGGCCCCGACAGAGTACATGCTATTCCATGCTATAGTGTCCAGCTTTCAAGCAGATTCAAGTTCGTGCTGCGACAATTCTGCGTATGAAATCTACAGCCGTAATGGTCATCATGACGTTTGGCGCCAGTGTAAATGTGGTTCTTAATACCCCACTAATTCTGATAAGGCCAATCCGCTGTACGCGTTTCAGTTGCATAGCAATTGAAGCCTTCTCTGACCCGTTCCACCAGACAAACGCTCCTTATAACAAGATAGGTTTAACTATAGTTTCTTAAAGCCAATGAATAACTTTGGGCGAGAGACCCCATCTCATACCAATAACTCCCCTGCAGCCTTTCTTGCCCCTTCCTCAGTATTAGGCTTCCACGACAGCTTCCTATCCAGGATTGACCCTGGCAGAATTTCTATACATATTTTTGTATTTATGTTTGCATTTTTCGCGAACACTTTTATAAACTTACCCTAATATAAGATCGAGTTCGTCATCCTTGTTAAAGTCACCGTTCCGCGCCGGCGGTAAAGGTTTCTTGTCACCTCCAACTCGTTCATATTGTTGTTTCAAGCTTGCTTGCTCGTTGTATTCATTTCTTTCCAAAGCAGGCTCAAAAGCATTTCGCATTATCAGATTGCTCGTAGGTGCTTGTTTGTTTGACACCACCTTCGAGAACATATTGTATACTTTGCCATCCGTGCCCAGTGTATCAATATTCACTATACTCGGACGTGACTGCAATAAATAGCCATTGATTTTGGCCGAATTTTTAGCATTCTTCGCAGCGGTCTCAAAGAGTGCATAGTTTCGGTGACCATTGGCGAGATAGATAACACCGGCTTTGATGTTCCCTGCTACGTTGTTGCTGGTGGTGTTAAAGGATACATTTGGCGGCTGTGGCGGATGCAGCTGACCGGTGTTTCGATTCAAATAGATGTCATTTATGGACTCTGTGAAGGTCAGGTTTTCTTGCGAACGCTTATGAAGCGTAGAATCACCACCGTTCAGATAGCCCAGATTCGCTGGCGCGAGTATGCCATTATAGCGTAGGGAGCCACTCTTTATTGAGAGATTATCTTCCATTGGATCACGCAGTAGTAGATTTGGTGCATTATTCGAGTTATTAGTGAGTATGGTGTTGTTTCTGTGAGAGTTTGTACTAACAGCTGATAACTGCAGCGGCACCGTGGAATGTGTGGCGTCGTTGCCGCCGCCGCCACCGCCGACACCATTTAATGCCAAAAAACTCACCTTCGGCATTTGCACTTGATTTAGATTGTGTGAAACTGGATTTGTGCTGCGTTTGGCATGCAAATTGATGTTGTTGTTGTTGGCTCCGCGATTGCTGGTAACAGTCGCATTTAATGCGTTATTGGCATTTACGGTACTAGTGTTGTTGCTGTGTTGCATATTACCCTGTTGCAGTAATTCAGTTACAGCCTGGAGTTTCTCTTGCACCGGAAGCACATTATTCGACAAATTTTGCACCTGCCGTACATTCCGAACAGCATTGGCATTGTTGACGCCATTAGCCGCAACTGTTGCAGCGTATTTGGCCGTAAGTTTTACATTAGCCTTGGCAGCCGCTGTGGGTGAAATACGTTTTAACGCATGAAAGTAGGCATATTTGAGGCTTTGCTGCGCTGTGGGTCGCTTATCCGGATCGTAGTGCAGCATGTCCTCCAGCAAATCTAGCCCCGCTTGACTGCAGCGTGTCACAATTGTGTTGAGCGGTACTTTGATGCATTCCGGATAACGAAAGTGTATGGTGGCAGCGAGCCGGTAGCCCTCGGGCCATTCACTCTGTTTATGTACAATAATAAATGCTATTAATTCCAAAATTTTATTTTATTTTTTTAATGTAAAAAATAACGACCTACCTTGTCCGGAGTTCCTAAAACAGAACAAATTTTAAATAATTGATCCACCTCACTGCTGCCCGGAAATAGTGGTCGAAATGTGTACAGCTCCGCCATAATGCAGCCCATTGCCCATAGATCTATGGAACTAGCATAGTTTGTGGAATGCAGCAGCACCTCTGGCGCTCGATACCTTTTGGAAGACTTTTTTTTTAAGTAACTGTTAAGGAAGGTTAAAAAAACACATCTTACCATCTCGTGGAGACATAATCGGTGAATGGTGGTCGCGATCGTATTTCGCGCGCCAAACCAAAATCTGCTATTTTAATTAGCTCTGGTCCGGAGCAAAGTAAATTTTCTGGCTTCAAATCTCGATGAAAGAATCCATGGCGATGCATGAATGCCAACCCGGTGAGTACCTTTTTAAATGAAAATAAGATAACATAGAATTTTATGAGGATAAAAACTGTATTCTGAGCTTTGAACTGTATTTTGAGCTACGAAGAGTGGCCGCATATAAGCATGGATTTACTTTTGCGTCTTAAAAATTTAGAAACCTTAATTAATTGTAGAGAGGATGATCGGGTTTTTACTGAGGCTTCCTTATATCTGAAGTAAAACTTCAGCTCTTTTATTCCTCCAAAGTTAAAAAAGGCTCAGAACACTAATACGCTATCAAAACTTCCACGACTTATATAAAAGTGGAGCCTTAACCTCGCCTTGAGATAAGATTAAACAGAAAAAATTGCTTGACATCCAAACCACGAGTCCACTCTATCAATATTATGCAACTGCTGAAAATATTGTAAGTCAGGATTAGTTTCAACATTAATCGACAAATATAGAAAGCTTAAAGTCGGCAACCTCACATACGGAGTTTTGGATTTTCTTGATACGCGGTTTTGTTGTATGTATAATGTTTTTTAGGAAAAATGGATAAAGCAACACAGTCTAAGCAGTAGAAGTTATAGCTGCTATTTCGGAGATCACCACATCTGCAAAGTCAGAAGCGCTTACCACTGAGCTATACACACCACGTAAACTCTTCATGCTAATTCATTTCCTTATTCAAAGTACTACCACCAAGTGCAGCTGATTTGCCGCTATTTAATCTTGATAGCGTATATATGTACGACTCAAAAGCTAGGCGAATACTTGTTCGTGGAACTTGATGATCTTGGGTCCATGTATATCAGAAAAATGAGCAAATACATGACCTGGAGGGGGGCAAATATAAGGGTCCAACGCGTTATCAGACACGGCACAGAGTTGAAATGTGCCGTGCCTGAACAACCGTTTAAACCAATACCGAAGAAGATGAAACAACGAACTTTATGAACATTTTAACGACGTGAACTTAGTTAAAGGTGTAAAAATATGTAGATTGCGCCGGCTTGGATATTTAGTATGCATGAATGATGCTGCTCCGGTGAAAAGATCCTTCGACTCTGTACCCAGGCGGACCAACGCATAAAAAAGTGGCGTAAGTTCGCAAAGGTTAGAGGCTATATCGAAGTTCTTTAGTCTAGGTCCTAACCGACATGTTCAAGCCTGGGTTGCAAGGAATGACAGAAATTCGATCCAAAATAAATCATCTTACAACCCTGTCGGAAAAATCAAGCAACACCATTACACAAAGAGGTAAGCCTTCAACATTTAATTTCGCGTAGAAGACTATGAGCTCGAGTAACGAGTTCGCGGAATACTGCAAAATGTTTTGAAACCACATAAAAAAATCTGAAGCCAGTGATCACAATTTTCAGTCAAAATGTGAAACGCAGTTTTAGGATCTGTATTACTTCGGGTTTTGTGAATTTTATTGAAAATTTTAATTGAAATTGGAGCGTCAGAATGAAAAATTTTTATAATTGCAGTCCCGACATTTGAGTTGACGAAACCGATGGGCATATGGCCGGAATGAGATTCCATCTTTCACAACATAAAGCTTTTAAGACTGCTTTTTGTTACTTTACTTAACCAATCAACTGATAAATTTTTACACCCATGTTGAGAAATTTTCAGTGATAGATTTATCCTCTATTCCCTTGGGACCGGATACATTTTGTATACTTAGCTGGTCTAGACGAATTAGGTTAGTAAATGATTGAGTGTACCCAGAGAAATCTATGTATTTAAAAAGATGGGTCCTATTAGGGTATCAGGCTCTCTAGATAGTATCTAAAAATATTTTCTCTAAAAATCTTATTTAAACAGAACGAAAAACTACACTTTTGATGGCACAACGTCGAAAGTAATTTGTCTCCAAACAAATTTGTACGCCATATTGGGCCTGCCATTTAGAATTTTTCAAAACTGAAATCAGATTCGTAGTCAGCGTTCATGAAAACACCTCAGTAACGAATTTCAGCCGAATTCAATAAATTTTAAGAATTTTCTTCCGCCATATTGGATGTTTTGAAATTTATTGTTATTTTCATTTATCATTAAAAGTCTATCATTTACCCGATTAATTTTCTATTTATGTACAGTGACTTAAACAAGTGTTCACTTGTTGATTTTTTTTTTAATATTTACAGTGTTTTTTTAAGTTATATTTTTTTGTTGCTTTTCTATAAAAGTATTGTCAAAACTTTAACCAAAACCATATGAATTAAAGTTTCAAACTTCATACAAAATTTAAAAAAAACTCAACAAATTGTCACTAAAATTTTCGAGCTCTGCACTTTTTTCCATCTAAAAATGCATTTCGTATGAAATAAAATACGCAGACCTTTCGCAGCAAAATTTCAACTTGTTATATAAAAAAAACCACTAAAAAAATATTAAAAATAAACTCGATTTTTTAGACGCTTAAAACTTTCACTTCAATCGACTAATATTGTACGCGCTATACAACGGCATATCCAAAAATTATCTAAAGATTCAAATTAAAAAGCGAAAGAACTTATAATAAATATCTGGGTTTGGGCAATAATTTTGAAAGGCCTCAATTTTGGAGGGAAGGATGCGGTGCCTAGGCTAACATGAAATGACCCATTGTACATATTTATGTAGGTACATCTTGGCATAAATTGGTTTTACCTGAAACAATATGCTTTTAAGCGTTGGCTCCGGCAAATGCGTATCTCGATCCTTTATCATTTGATACAAGTTCTCTTTCATGTATTCGAACACAAAATAAAGCGTATCATTTTCGCGTATGACTTCCTTTAATTTTACAATATTTGGATGGGAGAGTTTTTTAAGGGACTGCAAGATACATTTTTTTAAATAATTATAGTAATTTGATTAATAAACAAAAAAAGCAATTGAAAGACCCTACCTTGACTTCACGCAAATTCATCGCCTCTTCCCAGGAGTAATATTTTCGCTTCATACGTTTAATAGCTACCTTCTCGCCAGTGTCTTTGCGTTGCGCCAACACCACAGTTCCGTAAGTGCCATCACCCAATTGCTGAAGGGTTATATAGCGATTCATATTATTTATGACGGTATCCTCCCGTCACGTTAATCTAAAGCAGCCGCAATTTTCTTTAAATCATTCGAAATTGGAGGTAATGATGCGCAGATGTAGTAGACCGATAAGTGGCATTATGCTGAAATAGGAAGAGAAGATAATTCATTACTTTTGATAGGCATTTAACATTTCGCTACTAAGTAAATTTAAGACGGCAACTCAATTTTTAACAGTCTTACCCAAATGTTCACGTGTTGATTTTTTTTTTAAATATTCTCAACGTTTTTCAGGTTTGAATTTTTTTGTTGCTTTTCTATAAAAAAAATTGCCCGAGAGTTTCAAACTTCATAAAAAATTTGGTAAAATTAAATTTCATCAAAATTTCGATATTTTAAATCTGAATCTTTACAACCTTTCTGGGTATGCAGTTTTATAGCCCATACAATTTTAGTCTGATGAAGTGCAAGTATCAACCGGCTAAAAAGTTACGCTAATTTTTTATAATTTTTGGTTTATGGTTAAATATTAAAAATCAGTGCGATTTTTATCCGCTTGAAACTTTCACTTCCTTTGACTAAAATTGTATGGACTATAAAACCGCATAAAATTTAGCTTGAAAAACGTTGTGAATATTTAAAAATATCAACACGTGAACACTTGTGTTAGTCAGTGTATGTATGTACCTACATTAGGGTGGTCTAAAAATGCATGTGGAAAAAAGTAAAGTCCGAATTTTAATCCTCTCACCCCTTAGAGTTGCCTATATCGAAAAATATACCCCAGTTTTTTTATTTCCAATTAAAAAAATATTTTGAGGTCGCTCATAGCGCTCAAAGTTTTCCATGTATTTTTTTCGTACAAATGGTATAGAATTCTTGAATATAAATATATTTCGTTTAGAAAACTCTGTTTCTCTTGAATAGACTTCCAGTAATAATAGCCAATTGTTTATTTGACCATTTTTTAAAACTAACTATTTTTTATGCGAACTATTTATATTTAGGGGCCTATAAAAAAAGGTTAATATTAAAAAATTGCTATTTTTATTGGAAGTCTTCTAAAGAGAAACGGATCGAAAAATATTTATTTTCAAAAATTCTATCCCAGATATTTTACGTTGCCCTAGTAGTAAAGCCCTCTATGGTCACACTTTGTACCAAAGATATAAGTGTTTCTCCGGAACCGTTTAAGTCATTATAACAAAGTACAACCATAAACGTGTCTTTTTCAAATTTTTTTAACAGGCGAGTAACTTCCAAAAAACGATTCTCAAGTGGTGTTTTTGATCAGCTTTTTGAGGTTATCTCATAATTTTTGGGCCTGTATAATTGGCTGCGGTTATAATCGAGTGGTCTGAGGTGTGCATCACTTTTCCGTAGGACCCTCGTCCGAGAAACATTTTAAACTATAGGCCCCTCGACAGGCAAACAATCCTCCGAGTGTATTTCTGGCTTTCCAGAATCATCCACTATATTCAACTGGTCCCTCGGCATCTAATTACCAATTATTCCAAGTTAGTGCAGAAAGATCTCCTTTGACCAGGCTATGAAAGTTTGGCAGATAACCGTTTCCTTATAAATAGAACAATTGTCAATATTGGAGCTCAGTTCTTTAGTAGTTTTGTAAACTTTCTGATAAATGGGTTTTCATTCAGTCATTCAAACTCGACCCTCTAATATTTGGCAGCCAAATTTAAAAGGTTCGGTTGGGTAAGCAATCAGCCAATACTCGTACGTTAAAGAAACACCAGATCAGTTGAGAACATCGCCGTTATCCGTGAAAGTGTGAAGAGAACCCGAGGCAGTCAATTATTCGACATGTGCAAAAACCCAAAGTTTCGCAGACTCATCACTCAGCTTTGGGCCTGCTCCCGTAGAGGACACAACCTTCCCAGGAGCTCGAACTTAATGACCATAGACAACGTCGTTTTTTCGATGCCTGGATGCCTGGGAACGTTTGGAACAGGACCTCAAATTGAGCCGACAAAAACGGTGCACAGTGTTCTACATATTTTGCGAAAAATGGACTGAATCAAATACCTCGAGAATGAGAAGACATAGCGAAAAAATTCCGCGGATTTTAAAGCTACCCTGACCTTTAATATGTCCTTTTTTGGAAAAAAAAAACGTTTTACATTTTTTAAGCAAAAAAAAAATCAAATAATTTACTTTTGAAGTTCCGTTTTGAGCATTACCAGAATAAGAAGAGATAGACCCATTAAAATATATACTTAAATGATCAGAACGTCGAGCTGAGTCGATTTAGCCATGCCCGTCTGTCTGTCTGTCTGTTTGTATGCAATCTAGCCTCTCAGTTCTCATATAGCTCCAATACAACTGATTGTTCAGATATGAGATTTTTCGTTATAACTCCTCCATTTATGCAACTACGAACATGAAATTTTGCTATACTTCCACCCATTATCAACAGCTTTTTTCGAGCTGTTTTACATATACCAATGTAATCAGAAGGGACATCAATATTTCTGTTTTTCATAGCTCGCTCTATGGTGGAGTGCACACTGTCTGCCTCCATCTGTGTGTGGCCAATTTCAAGAAATTTTTGTTCAATAGTAATATTATGTGTGACTGCTGCATTAAGCAAGGCATTACTCATCACACAACTATGATTTTGTTAAGTACAACCATCACTATAAAAAATTACTTTTACTGGATTGTCGTTTCCACAAAGAACCTAATTTTCAATAAAGTAAATCGAAATACTTGCAAACTCTCCAGCACCTAATCCACCTTCCACAGTAAGCTTTTTGGTTTCTAAGGTTGAAAAAAACCAGGTTGTGTCCCTGTAACTTTGTACGGTAGTATAAGCTGCTGACTTGAGATTTTGGGGACATTAGTACAGCTTGAAGATCTACGGTGAATACATGGGTTTCTTCACCCGATCTTTGTTCTTTTCATTCCTGGCCTCTTCTTTTTTTGTTTGGTGAGGAGTATATTCTTCTAGCGAGAGGTTTCCGACTGAAAACCGTGTACATATATCGCATTGGTCTTTTTTAGGCGCAAACAAGGCCATATTTTTGGCATCAAATGTTTGATAAAAGACCGATGTGGAAAGCGGTCTAACGTTGTTTTTTGGTACACCAATCATTAACATAAAAGTCATAAAGCTTCTTTTTTGAACACCACTCTGCCAGAAGATATTTTTTTTTAGTATCAGCACGACAATAATGAGACTCCATTGATGGCATAGAATCAAAAAAAGAATTTAGGCATTGCCTCTCTTCTGTTAAGTGCCTTTTTTCTTGAGCAGTTTTCTTTAAACTGGTTTCTGAAACTAAAAGGTTTTCCACCCAATCACTAACAGTTCGTTGACCAACGTTCAAAGTATTTATGAAAAAAGTTTTGCAGACTCGAATATTTTTATTTTCTTTGCTGAGGTAGTACTGTAAGGTTCGACATCTTTTAGATTTGTTGTACACTTTTCTATTTCGACGTCTTACAGTTGGAAACACTTGAATCAAAGTATTCACATAAACCTTTTTTTCATTCCAAGTCATTTGCAAAATTCTTTAAATATTTTTTTCTATCCTCATCAGTTATTTCTGCACACTTTATAGCGGTATTTTTTTACAGCTACATCTTTCCTTTAATGTACGTGGTTCTTTCATCTTTTCATAATTCCAGCTGCTACCGACTTTTTGTTTTCCCAAATAACATTTAGCTTTTTCTCTACGTTCTTTTATTTCTGATCTTAAACCAACTAGGATTTTCAACACGGTTTCTCTTTTTGCGTCTTTTTGATGTCGAGGGTAACTCGTACGAATCATCGGAATCAGTGTTAATACCATACGGAACTAATCCTATAACGACGTCATCCGATTCAATTCCATAATCCTCATTACTATTGTTATTTTTATCAGCAGAATCCATGACAATCTCCTAATTAAATAACCAATTTACCAATGTTTTCCCTCGAAATGGGATATATATAATATATAATATATATAATAATAGTTACCTTCTGTGTTTGAAGTTAAAATAACTTTATAATTCTAGTTTAAGAAACTAAAAACACGCTTTTACGATGGGTGAACTAAAACATAAAAAAAAAATTTGTAGTAGAAGAAAGCCAAAGCGTGGGCTGCTTGTTACTAATTATTCTGAAATTTGCATCGCTAATTACTTGTTAAGGTCGTTTTTAACTCTATCGAAAAAATTAAAAAAAAACTTACCAATGTTTATGCTTTTTTCTTGATTTTTTTGCACTTAGCACATTTGCGTACCACTGCATAACAACAAGTAAGAACGACATTACGGTAACTTTCCTTTTTGGTAATGATGTATTTTGAGTTGTGCTATCTTACTGCATCAAAATCTCAATTTTCATAAAAAGTGGACTTAGCACATTTGCGAACTAAGCCAACGATATATGTATCTCCTCTATCTAAGTATGCTGTGAGTATATAACTGTCTTCAAATGCAGTAATCTGTTAAAGTAAAATTTTCAGATGTTCATGAAAGGTGTGAAGCCTACGGCATAGCCGAAAACAGGGCTGCTCTTACTTGTTTTTTATTCAATCAGCCCTTTGATTTTTGTTCCTTTTTATCTAAAAACCGCTTGTGACTTAAATAAAGTTATAGTTTAAAAAACTAAAACCTTGCTAATATAATTTCCATTCATACTGCCATCAGGTATGTAACTTGAGAATAGAAATCGCTGCATCTTTTAGGCGCATCAATATTACATAGTTTCATCCCGAGCTAATATAAGGGAGGTAAAAAAAAATGTAAATGCGTTTTTTGTGTGACAGCAAAATATGTTTTGAAAATTTTTAAAAATTCATTGCATACTGGTTTCATGGCAAAAAAGAAAGAAATTTAAAACCTATTTTTGATAGTAATTTTAAAGGTCAAAATATTTATTTTATCCAACGAGACTATTTTTCTTCAATTTAAAGCTTTAAAGTACCGTAAATATTTATCTCGCTATCTCTCCTCGTTCTTAAGATATTTAATTTTGTCCATTTTTTCCAAAATAGAACTCAGTGGCGGGTTGGTTGGCGCATCACCATTAGTCTTTACTTTTAAAAAAGGCTTTTTGCACAAAATGATTTCATTAAATTTTGAGATAAGATTTACAGAAACCGCTTTCAAATGCAGAATTTGTTATCAGAATCAA